TGCTGCCGCTGCTACTGACGGCGACCGTCCCGCCGAGCCGGGGCCGCTCCACCGGGCAGCCAGAAGGTGAGTGTCCGTCCGCTAGGGTGCACCTGGCACAGCGCGGCGGCTCAGACGAGCAGGCGGGCGGTGGGAAGAGTGTCCTGGGGGCCGGCAGCTCGGGACCAGGGGCTTGGCGGCTGGAGTTCGCGTGGCCCTTGCTCTCCTGGGGCCCTCACCCGCTGACCAGGCCGAGGCTCCACTATCGCTTGGGCTAGAGGCCCAGGGCCTGATTTCCCTGGCCCAGCCTCGGACCCTGGGCTATTGACAGTTTATATCTCATAGCCCAGGGACTCTGCTCCCGCCCTCCCCCAAAAGTGCCTGCTGGTCAGATTGTAGCAGTTGTGCAGGGAGGAGAGTATTGGGGCCTCCAGGCCAGGTCCCCATTGTGTAGATGGGGAAACTGAGGGCCAAGCCTGGGGTACATCCAGGAGACCAGAGCAGCCTTTCCCTGGCTTTTTCTTTTATATGGGAAGTTCTCCTAGTGCCCTCAGGGTCAACTTGTATCTGCGGCAGCAACCAGCCTAGATTTTGGGCAGCCAGAGGTAAGAACTCTGGAAATTCTGCACTAACTGGACTTGTAATACTTTCAAAACTCTCATTTTACATTAACATCCTGGAGAGGGGTCAACCCAGGAAATACTTTTGCGAAGGCCAGTTCCCAGGTGAAAAGCATGGGCAGGGGTGCGGGTGGGGCAGTTGGGCACTATATCGGGTTTGCTCCATCTGAGAGCTCTGGATAGTTTTTGCTCAGAGCCCAGGGTAAACCTCTGGGTGACAGACAACTGCTCTCCTTTCAGAGCTGTTTTGCCAATTTGGTTCTTCCCTCCGAAGGCATTTTAATGTTGTTTCCTTATGTGCTAGGCACTGTGCTGGCTTGATATCAAGGCCATGACTCAGTCAAGACATTGTCTAGTGAAGGTACAGCCAGGAAATAATGACAACCCTACATGATATGTGTGCTGTGAAAGGAGAGCACAGGATAGTATATAACTCCCCTATGGTGAGAGTCATGGCAGGCTTCCAGAAGGAGGTGAACCAAGTCTTGAAGGCCAGTTGGTGATGGTGGAGTAATTCCAATTAGAGGAAACCAGATGGACCTAGCAATAGGGACCTGGACATGGTATGGCTCATCCCAGGGCTCTCAAGCACTTTCGGTTCTGAGGAGTCAAGAGGGGTGGGCTGGTGGAAGGTGAGGTTAAAGAGGGCCAAGCCAGATCACACATGACTTGGACACCAAATCAGGTGCTGGCTGTGCTCTTTTACAGATGTGGATGAGTGTGCCCACGGGCTAGATGACTGCCATACAGATGCCCTGTGTCAGAACACACCCACCTCTTACAAGTGCTCCTGCAAACCTGGCTACCAAGGGCAGGGCAGGCAGTGTGAAGGTAAGTGACTTGGGGACCATTGTAGGTGGGCTAGCAGGGCAACTTCCACCTCCTTACCTCTCATAGTGGACACTCATGTTGGTAAAAGTGCTGCCTCCATCTTGAATCACACCACCTGCTGTCTGAAATGTATTGCAGATCCTTAAAGCTTTGACTGTAAACATCAGGTTAGGGTTGATCATAGTTTTAACTGCCTTTGAAATGTCCTTTTGTTGAGCTTGAAGAAATGATAAGAGGTGTTTTAGTATCTTTTGGTCCCACTCAGCCATGCTCATGGGAGAGCTGTGCCTGCCAGAGCAGGGCTGATCCTGTCTCCCTGGCGCAATATGCACCCCCTTACTGGAGATCGAGTGCTGGAATCTTGCTCTCTCCTTCTGGCTCTGGAGGCTCCGTCCTGTCCATGGCTTTGAGATGTTTGGCACTGGGACTTGCCAAGCTTTAGAGCTACACCTCATCTGAGCTGAAATTTCACCCTTGAAAGATGTGTGTAAAGGAGTATTTTAACCATTAGTGCTTCAGATCTGGGAATGCAAAGTCCGGACTCTGCCCACTGGGGATTAGTTCAGTGTCATGAACTTTAAAGTTCAGAACTTGATGGAGACTGGGCACTCACAGGAGAAGGCTGTTCTTAGGGATGGAAATCATCATACAGTGGAGCTGGTAGGCTCTTCATGGAGCTCTGGTCCAATCTATCACTCAGATGGGGACATCGAGGCTCAGGGGATTTGTGGCAATGATCACACAAGTCTGCTGGTGAAAAAAAGTCATGTCTCTACCCCAGTTCAGTCCCAGCTCCACCTCTCTCATATATTCACTCAGCTTGTTTCTGTCCCCCTTTGGTTGGGTAAGAAATCATACTATTTATTTATTTAGCAGCACTGGAGTTGGAACTCAGGATCTATCTACCATAGAGCAACATTCCTAGTCATTTTAATTTATTGTTTTTTATTTTGAGGCAGGGTTTCTAAATTGTCCAAGCTGGCCTTGAACTTGCGATCCTACAGCCTTAGCCTCCTGCCTTCACCTCCTGAGTAGCTGGGATTTCAGGCTTGCACTACTGAACCTGGCCAGAAATCCTACTATTTATATTACTTATAGTCTTCCTATGCAGGAAGAAGTTTAAAATTGATGAGGTGCATTGAATTCATTCCTGCAACTCCCTCCTGCCTCTGGACCCAACCCCTTCAGTCTGAGAGGTTTTATACTCTTTACAACTTGGGCTTAACCTTGGCAGGAACTGACCTGAATACTTGCAGGATCTAAACCT